AAATACGAAGGTCAAGCTCTCTCCATTCGGTCACTACACTGGCGACGAGGGTAACTGGACTACTTTGCTGTTTCTTCCTACTTCTCACTACTTACACTATGGCTACGCACGGCAAGATGTCGCGGGCATTCGATGGTTCCAAGGAATCTTGGACTTCTTACTCCGAGAGACTTGACTTCTACTTCAAGGCTAACAAGATTACAGCAGCAGAATCTCAGAAAGCAGTCTTTATTACTGTGATAGGACCTAGGACGTACGGGCTACTGAAGAGCCTACTACAACCAAAGACACCTCAGGACTCTACCGTCACCTTGGATAAGATGAAGGACGTTCTGCAGAAGCATTTCGATCCTAAGCCATCTCCTATAGTTCAGCGCTTCAAGTTCCACACGAGAGTTAGGAAACAAGACGAGACAGTGGCAACCTATGTGGCAGAGCTCCGTGTGATAGGAGAACATTGCGATTTCCAAGATTCTCTAGATGCTATGATTCGGGATAGGCTCGTTTGTGGCATCAACAGCATTCGAATCCAGAGAAGACTGTTACAAGAGCCAGACTTAGACTACGATAAAGCATTTCAAATAGCTCAAGCTATGGAGCTAGCTGCTCATGATGTCTCTGATCTACCTGGGAGTAAATCACAGCACCAGACGCCGACTCCTGTTCATAACCTTCAACACAAGAAGGAATTGTCACACAGGCAGAGTAAAGTTGAGTGTTACAGATGTGGTGGAGATCATTACGCTACTAAATGCAAGTTTATTGAGGCAGATTGTAGGCTGTGTGGAAAGAAGGGACACCTAGCCAGGGTATGTCGCAGTCGAAAAGAGAAGCCACAGCAGCAGAGGAATCATCCTAAAGCCAAGACTGGGTACCCACCACAACCTCAGCAGAATAACAGACAACACCCAACTCACAACCTGGACCACAAGTCACATCCTCTTCTCATGGGAGACTCTGACCAAGAGGACTACCCATTGTTTACTTTGCCTTCTGCTGGAAAACCTATTGTTGTTTCAGTGAGTGTCAATAAGGTTGACCTTTCCATGGAACTGGACACTGGGGCTTCCTTATCTATAATGAGTAAAGACACTTATTCCTCTCTTTCTTCTACTCTTCCTCCAATTTCTCCTTCTCATGTCATTCTAACTACGTATACTGGAGAGAAGATCAAGCCAGTCGGTGCTATAGATGTTGATGTTCGTTATCAGTCCCAGACTGCTACTCTACCACTGGTGATAGTTCCTGGAAATGGACCTACTCTACTGGGTCGTAATTGGTTGGAAGTTATCCGACTAGATTGGTCCCTTA